CGCCGATCGCCGACCAGCTCCTCCTCTTCGCCCGAGTCAGAATCTCCTTCGCTGCCACTGGCCACTGCCGCCGCCACCCCCGGGTCCCGGTCCCGCTCGAAGCGACCCCCGACCGGCCCCTGCCCACTAGGCGGGCCTGTCCCATTGCCGGGGCCCCGGATCCCTGCACCGCCGCCGCCGTTGGCTCCACGAGGAATCCCGGGGCCGGGCCGGCCGGAGGATGTCCGCGCCATGCCCATCACTGAGCTCCGAGGCAAGGCAGCAGCGCCGTTCCCGGCCCCGGCCTGGCTGGGTAACATGGTACCACCGCTGCCTCCCACGAAGTGCAAGCGGGACGAGCGCGTTGGGTCAGGCCGGCGCTGCCATGGGCCCCCCGCGCCGGCTGATCCGGCCCGGCCCCCTCTCCGGGTAGTCGCCACCCGCCTTCCTGCCTATCCGCTTGCTCACACTACAGTAAAACCCTGCACCGGCCTGGGGCTCCCCCCGCGCTGCCTTCCCCCATATAAAGCGATACAATGTTGCCTTTTATGGAGAGAACGCTCCTTATATGGTGAGAGCCGGCGCTTTGCATCTATTGGCCATCCCCTAGCAGCACTCTCGTGCCGTTGGTTGAAGGAGGTCGAGACCGGTCTCTCATTGGTCGGAAGGATGCGGGGCTTATTTGCATACATTCCAAAGGAGCTGCGTTCGCGTCGACGTCATCCTGGAAGAGCAGCTTTTAAAGAGAAAGAACCTTCCTCTTGAAGTGGGAGTCTGTTAGGGGGGGGGTGTAGAGAATGCAGGTTGAGCAAGAGCGGCGGCAAAAATATCCAGAGCCCAATGGAGAGAGCGGCAGGCTGCTCTTATGCATCGCATAGCACATCGGAAGTAAAGTTCCACTCAAGACGCAAGCCACCGCGTGTAGAATTTGGAGTCCGGCAAGAGCCGTAGAGCCTGCAGGGGGACAGAACGTGAGGCGGTACGGGAATGTTGCATTACATAAATTCAGAAATGCATAAGGAAATCAGCGTCATCCCAGAAACGGTACGAGGGAAGTCAAGAGAAATATTTTAGCGTTAGTAAGTAATAGCTCCTTTTTATAACAGCCGTGACCACTATCCTGCCTCTCTCTCCCTGCCTGGAATCTGTAATTGAGAAGATCAAAGCTTGGGTGCAATTCTGTTCTTTCTCTACTGAACTCTTGAGTAGGTTACTTCTGAATAAACCTAGGATCGTTCTGTAAAAACAGCGACTGTTAGAAACTTTGAGGGTATACACCTCCCCACATAAAAACACAATAAATAAAGCAAAATGGTTACATTTTAATGGAACTGGGTAAGAGTTGGATCTAGATATTTTCAACAGATCCATGTGAAGGGGGCCTGTCCTTGCGCCTTTGCTAATGGACGCCTGAGAATGGAGCTCCTCTGTTAACCTCAGCTTGCCAGCAAAATATAGCCTCCGAAACCGAATTCACCAACCAGGCATGGGAAGATCTTCGAAATCCTCCGGAGCAACCACTGGTGTAAAAACAAGGTCCGTGTCTACCTTCTTTTCGCCCCACCAGGCCCCTACAGTTTCAGGGCCTAAAAGCGCATCAAATCCCAAAATGGCGACCGGGCCGGGCATCTCCCTCCCGAAGGTGTTGTACTTACACGGGAGGAATTCATAACTACAATACAAGAGCTTGGAAAAAATATGGCAGCAGTTAACGGCTGATATTATTAAACCGCTTGCCAATCAATTTGCTGACTTCCAGAAATCACTAGACAAGGTAGCACAAACTGCAGACTCAGCTTTAGAAGCAGGACTTGCAGCACAAGAGGACACCAAGTTTTTATTAAAGAGGGAGGACTGGGCCACAGAAAAATTGATCGCAATGGACAACCAACTTCGTGCCCATAACTTCAAATTTAGAGGCTTTCAGGAAAAAGAGGAACAAAATACAGAACTCCCAGTATTTATAGCTTCATGGCTCTCAAACACTCTGCAAGCAGGCCCAGGGGTTGCTCCATTATTGGATTATGCCTACAGAATGGGGCCCCTTATGCAACGCCAACCTAGAGCATGGCCAAGAGACAAATTAGTGAGATTTACTAGCCTACGTACCAAACAAGCAGTAATGGCCCTGGCAAGACGAAATGGATTCATCCTGTATAAAGAATGCAAGATACTGGTGATGCAGGACCTATCACAAGAAACTTTACTGAAAAGGCGCCAGCTTAAACCCATCACCACAACTCTATTAAAAGCCAATATCAGGTATAAATGGATCTCCTATCACAAATTGCAAGTTGTATTCCAGGATCATACTTTACACGCTACTCACCTGGATTCTGGTCTCATTTTATTAAAAGCTCTACATCTTGATCTCCCAGACATAGCAGCACAAGAAGAAGAACAACATGCAAAACCCACTAATGTGTTCAACTGGCAAAAACCTAAAAAACGCCGCACAAGATCAACTTGATTGCAATGACTGGATTCAGTCTGGATTTTTCTTTTGAAATCATATACTTTGCAACAGGCTGACCTGGCTTGCGTGACCGAGACCTGGGTGTGGGAAGGGGAGACTGTAGCTCTCACCCAGCTTGCCCCACCTGGGTTTTCGGTCCTACACCAATCACGGAATAGGGGGCGGGGGGGAGGAGTGGCGATATTTGTATGAGAGGCTTACTCCTTCAGGGCACTCACTACGGTGGAGATTGCGGGCTTAGAGTGTGTTGGTCTGGTGCTGGAGGCCGAGGAGAGTTTGGCAATCTGGCTGGTGTACCGTCCGCCTAACGCACCTACCAATAGTCTGCCGTCCCTACTGGAGGCCGTAGCAGGCTGGACGCTGGAGCACCCTAGGCTTTTAGTCTTGGGTGACTTCAATGTCCATGCCAATGACGCGACCTCTAGTCGGGCTACGGACCTAGTGGCGTCCATGGCATCGCTAGGACTCTCCCAATGGGTATCAACCCCCTCTCACCAGGCTGGGCACACGCTCAATTTAATCTTCGCGGCGGGGATTACGGTGGACCGGATTACTGTGAAAGCGGTACCATGGTCGGACCACTATGCCTTGAAGGCTTGTGCAAATGTCCCACCCCGACCCCGTTTAGGTGGTGAACAGATTTTAGCTCGCCCACAGAGCCTAATGGACCCTATGCAGCTTCAGATGGCTCTGCGGGATCCGATGCCCCCTGATGGCTCGTTGGATGAGCTTGTGGATGACTGGCATAGCCGACTTTCTACAGCCATCGACATGATCGCTCCCCGGCGCCCTCTGCGCCCTCGCTCTAAGCTGGCCCCTGGTATACCCAGGGGCTGTGGCTATTGAAACAGGAGCTCAGACGGTTGGAGAGACAGTGGCGCCAAGCTCGCGACAAGGGCACAAGAACATCTTATAGGACGTTTATGAGATCCTATGAGATGGCAGTCAAAGCTGCGAAGAGAGATTACTACGCAGCTAGGGTTGCGTCCGCTAGCTCACGCCCGGCCCAATTATTTAGGACGATTCGATCATTGACAGCTCTGCCACAGGGCAGACAAAACAGTAGGGAATTGGATATTGGCTGTGAGGCTTTTGCGAGCTATTTCGCGGATAAAGTCTTGTCGCTCTGCCGTGACCTCCCCACCACAGTCGATACAGTAAGTGAACTTGAGGCCCCTTGCACGGTTTCACTGGGTTTGGAGGGCTTTGACCGGTTCAGCCTGGAGGAAGTTGATAGAGTGCTTGTATCTGTGCATCCAACCACTTGCAGCCTTGATCCGTGCCCCTCCTGGCTCATTAAAGCGGGTCACGAGGGGTTTCGAGGTACCTTGAGGGAGATTATCAACAAGTCCCTTTCAGAGGGGCAGTTCCCCGAGGCACTCAAGGAAGCGATGGTCCGCCCTCTCCTGAAAAAGCCAACTCTGGACCTGACTGAATTGGCCAGCTATCGACCGGTGTCCAATTTGCCCTATTTGGGCAA